TCCGCTATCACGCCGGCCCCCAAAGCTGCAAAGCCCCCGCCTGCTATCACCCCGCCCCCAACGGCCCCAGCAGAGGACTTAGGAGAATTCGCCAACGCCAAGAGCAGCACCCACCGCAAGGAGTGGATGGCATTCTCGAGGAGAATGGAGAGTGATGATGCACCCAGAAAATTCCCACAAGTCTTGGCCATTTGGGACAGCAGCAAAGAGGACCCGGTAGAATTCTGTGTTTGTGTGCAGTGTATAGTATATAGTACGTATGACAGCATAAGCCGTTTCATTTCAGGAGAAGCACCAGGTTTTCCGCAAATGGCTCGCCAACGAGAAAGATTTTGCAAAGACGGAGAGCATCATGGTGATTGAGCGCGAAAAACAAACGAAAGGAAAGCGGGAGTGGGAATGCTTGACTATCGGGGAGATGGTTGAAAAAAAGTTCAGTCTGTCTGGTGCTGAGTATCGCACGAATCCTAGGATACAGATGCTCATGATTCTTCTGGACTTTCTACAAATATATTTCTCTAAGGACGAAGATTGAAGCGGCTGTTCGGAAACCGAACAACGCCGTTCCTGACGAAGACTGCCCGGACGACGCAGCCTCCACGCGGTACTGGACGAAAACAAAGATGGTCCAATCCGAAACCGACACGACGAAGCACAACCTTCGACAATCGATTGGTTTCCGGGCATCGCCTGAGCTGGCAGATGCCATGCTGGGCAATCCTGTTATGGCAGCTCTCAGGGCATCCTCGGCTACTTCCAAGGATGACTCGATTCGGCTTGCCAGGGAGATGGCGTCAGCGAGGGATGGGAGCTACTCACTTGAATGTTTCCGACACGTTTAGCAGTATGTGTGCACTGCCTTTGCTGTTCTTGTATCCGAGGCACTGTTTCCAGTGCTGCTACAGGCAGGTCGGCCCCGAAGACCAAAGCCAAAGCCAAAGCCCGCCTGAGTGCCCCGAAGACCCCGAAAGAGCTCGCCGAAGATGCCCGTTCCTAGCTTGATATTATGTTTCTCGACAATCCTTGATCGTTCAGCTGCCTTTATAGTACCTGGCCCTGAGCCTATATAGCCAAACCCTAGATGTAACCCATCCCAGGAAAGGAAGTCAAGCGGGAGCTCAGTGCCGCTTCAGTGGCCCTGGACCTTCCCAAAAAACACGAGCTGCGAATCAAGATGCAAAGCCATGAGACTGAACTGAAAGAGCAGCTCGAGCTGTTCCGTTCTTAGCATACTTGATGCAAGCATGTGAAGCATAATCAGTAAATTTATATCATCCCGACCTCAATAAGATTTCCGAACCCAGGTTGAAGGAGTTCGATGACTTGGAGACAGATGAGGATCAGAAAGAAGCCCTAGCCACATGCGAGCAAGCAGCACCCCGGCTACATCTAGAATTGCATCATGCCCACAACTAAGCCCCGAAACCCCAAATATTACAAACCCCTTATGAATTTAACCCAGGTGGAGGAGGCCAAGTTGACACGTGTTCAAGCACGAGCCGTGGCCACCGAGATCCGGAAGGAGAAGACGTCGTGACCAGCCTGTAGCTGTGGGTTCAGATGCATCCAGCACTGGCCGAGGGGTGCCTAGGTTAACGAATATTAGAATGGTGGGTCTCGGGTTCCTTAGCTGTCCCTTCGAAAATATTTGATTCGAGATAGCTTAAGTCCAACTTCTTTCTTGGGTGATATCATCGTTGACAAAGTAGTAACTTCATATATCCTACGCA